CTATTTCTCACCAACTTGCTTGAGAACGTTGGATACAGATGATTATTTGGTCCTTTTCATGTAATCCTATACTAGTTGGTTCTTCATTTGAAGGCAGGTTGCATCTCTTGACTTGGTCGCTTGAAGTTTTTTTTACTTAATTTGCATTTAGGAATGAAATGCATTTAGGAATCAGCAGTGAAAAACGTCGTTGTACATGTGTAGTGTGAGATTGATAAAATGCTCGGCAATTGTTCCATACACTCTCTGTTTTCACTGGTCAACATTACTTCGGATAATTACACGCAGAGTCTTTGACTCGTTAACAAACTCGTCAACTGCCCATCTCAGTGAGAACTCAACTTTTGCAACGCGGATTGCAGTTCCAAGGTCCAACCATCCCAGTGTTAGCAAAAGTTTTGCACATTGAAGGTGTCTCCGAACCTAAAAAAAACTGGGTGTCGCTTATTCCGATACGACAAGAGAAGTTTCAAAAAACAGTTCGTTTAAGATGTTCGCTTCACATTTGTTCCTCTTCCAACGTCGAATACTAAAGATATGGTGTACATGTTAACAGAATTACTGTTACCTCGAACTTTACTCCTTTATTATTACCTCCTATTGTTACAGTAACGTAACCACACAACCCGAAGCCTGTTCATGTATAAGATGTGAACTGGTTATCTTTTGTATCTCTCTTGCTTTTCTCTTATCAATATAATATGTAGAGGTTCTATATCAACATGATATTAGAGCCTGTGCAACCTCTTTCTCTCTCTCATCACTAGTTCGAAGCTGTGACTAGCTTGAATCTACGATCTCCTCCTCTCGACTCTCTCATATGTGTATGTGTTAGCATCTTATTCTAGAATTTCTACAAACCACACTGTTTTGCATCTTCCGTGTATCTTCTTCTAACATGACCAAAAATAGCCCAGTCCCCAATGAGGATAAGCTCTGTGGCTCTTCTAACTATAACATGTGGAAGTATTATGTGATGCGTGCAGTGAAAAGGAGCAACTATGGAGCATCCTGGAACCATTGAAGGACGACAAATGATCACAAGAACCTGACCTCGAGGACAAGAACGAGGCAGTGCTCAACATCCTTGTTTTTTCCATTCAATCAGATTTGGTGGGAAATCTAACAAGCTTTCAAAATCCGAAGAGTCTTTGGGAGTTTTTCAAAACAACCTATGAGATTAACAGACAATAGGAAATACAATTTGAAGAACAAGCTTTCACTTGTCACCATAACTAAAGAATCTGGATTTGAACTATACTTCAACGAATTTAGGAGCATTCTATCCCAGCTCTCATCCATTGGCATCACTATTGCAGACTCGGACCTAATTTAGATCGTGATCAAGAGCATACCAAACAGCTATGATTATTTCTTACAACATTATACAAGTGCTGGTAAGTATCCACATTTCAATGAATTGCAAACGAATTTCGTGCTAGAGGAAAGTAGACGCGCTATTAGGTCATAAGCGCAAGAAACAAAGTGTGGATCGAATGAGGCACTTAACTTTTACACTAACAGACCATCTCAGCTCATTCATAATTGAGTGAGTGTATTAGGACACCTACCAAACAATACAGCAAGCTCACCTAGCTCAAATTCATGCAATTCTTGTGGACGGTATGGACACTGGAAAGGAATGTATCCAAAGAGGCTTGCTAACATACACAAGCTAGAAACCGATAGGCGTAACAAATTACAAAATCAAAACAAAAGATTTGCTAACTTTGTGCAGGAAGAGAGTCCATAGAGCTTCTCTGCATCAGCTCATACACTTGCTGAAAATCCGGATCTCTCTGATCAAGAAGATGTATTTGAAGTAGCCATCTTTGCTTTGGACATCCAGGGACATGATTCTGGATGGTACCTTGACTCAAGCGCTACAAGGCATGTGAGTGGAAGTAGAGATTCTTTTGATTGCTTAGAACAATGCAATAGAAATTTCAGGACCGCAGGAGGACAAAACTACGCCATTGCTGGTTGTGGATCTGTAAACTTTACCTTATCCTCTGGAACAATAAAGAGAATTCTCAACGTTTTGTATGTCTCAAGCCTCAAGAAAAATCTTCTTTCAGTGGGCTCAATCATCAAGAGAGGATGCGTTGCTTGCTTCGATGAAGACAAGTGCATATTATATAACAAAGGGACAAAAAACATCATTGCAGAAGCTAAACAAAATCCCAAAATTGGTTTGTATCAACTGGTAACCAGAAATGTCAATATACAAGCCAACATTGCTACCTCCTCAGTGAATCTTACAAGGCAGTGGCACAGGCGCCTTGGACACATTAACTATCAAACACTCCATCAAATGAATTTTGAAAATTTAGTTTCTGGGCTTCTTTACATTCCAATATATAATGAAGTGTGCAAGATCTGTCAAATGGGAAAACAGTCAAGGGCTTCTTTTCCAACAGCGAGTCAAAATAGAGCCAGCAAAGCACTTATGTTGTTGCACATTAATCTCTGCGGACCCCTACCGACCCAGTCCTTAGGAGGGTCATTCTTCTTCTGTCGCATTCATACTCAAACAAACACCCACATCGACCAATCCGGGAACTACATTATATCAAAAATTGTTCAAGAAGCGACCAACTATGGACCACCTCCGGATTTAAGGCTAAAAGGTCTATATCCTTCTTGACGGTGAACAGCGCGACAAACTAGACAATAAAGCGATTGAGGGGATTTTAGTCAGCTACGACGAAGAGACCAAGGGCTACAGATGCTACATTTCCAAACGCCAAAAACTCCAGATAACGCACAACGTCCGCTTTGATGAAGACAGCATGCTCAATAGCGGACAGTTCAAGCCTGCACCACTACCTCTGCACCATGACATTGCCCCGCTCCCCAATATAGATCCAATGTTGTCAAACAAACAGTCACATGGACCTCGCATCCCCGGCATCTGTGGCTACTGACGCGTCTCCAGACCCGTCTCTTACACTGCCGCACCACGTGCTCGCCAAAACCGCTAACACCCGCAAGCTCCCACCACAAACCTGTCAACCATTGTCTAGATTACATGATATCATCACATATCTAGCAGAATCTTTGTCGAATCTCGGCCTTTTGGAAGTAGAATCTATCTACAAGTTAGCTGCAGAATCCATGGGTATTTCTCATCTCAATGTCAAGACAGCGTTCTTGAATGGCGATCTCACTGAACCGGTACACATGGTCATCCCAGAGGGTTTCAAACAACATGGAACACGTAAACTACTAAAATCAATATATGGCCTTTAGCAAGCCCCATGGGCTTGGTTTGAAAAGTTTGATGACTTTCTCCAAACACATGGGATGCAACGCACAGAAGATGGAACTTCTTACTACACTGCATCAAAGATGCTAGGGGGGTAGCTCTTTTCATCTTATATGTAGATGATCTCCTTCTAACAGGAGATAACAACACAACATTGAACTGGTTGAAAACACAATTACTCAACCGATTTGAAATGTAAGATTTAGACTATCTGCAGTTCTACTTAGGAGACACATTTCTCATCACCAAAATTGGAATTTTCTTCAATCAACAAACCTACATCGAGGCAATTCTCATTGAATTTGGCATGAACAAATGCCATAGTACTTCAATGCCTATGCCCAAAGGCATCAAACTGAACAAAAAAGAGTGGGCTGAAATTATCAATAAAGCGACCTATTGCAGACTTGGTAAGCTAATTTACTTGTTAAACACCCGAATTGAAATTATATTTGTTGTTTGTACCATCAGCCGCTGTATGCAAAATCCAAGAATTCCTCACATGGATGCAGCCAAACACATCCTGTGCTATTTGAAAGGGACATTGGACCTTGGAATTACCTATCATTGAGGAAGTAGCACAGCTATTGAAGGCTTCAAAAATGCGAATTGGGCAAACATCAATGATCGCAAGTCCATTTCAGCATATGTGTTTAAATCTGCTGGTGGCTCAATCACGTGGTCTTCAAAAAAGCAATCTACGATTGCTCCTCCTCCACATACGCAGAAACCAAGGCTATAGCTGAAGGTATAAAAGAATCAATATAGCTTCGAACTTGAACTCATTGTATCATATGCAAAAAACCTAAATCCATTATGTTGTATTGCGACAATCAAAGTTCTCTGAAGTCTGCAAGAAATGCTCTTAGTCATGCTCGCTCAAAGCATGTGGAGGTATGGCAACACTTCATCCGAGAGAATGTACTCATTGGAATTGTAAACTTAGTCTATATTGCCTCAAATGACCAATTGGCAGATCTGCTAACCAAAGCATTAGGACGTCTAAAGTCTCTCAAACATTGCAATGGCATAGGAATCAAAACAGCACTCTAGAGGAAACTAATTATGAGATACTTGATCCTCCTCACAAAGAGATCCATAGAACATAGAACAGACTATTTCATTAGATGAACAACTTCGTACTATTTCACTAGGAGAACAATTTCGTGAGACACAGTAATCTAGCCTAGACAGATCCTCAACTAGCAAAATCTGTAGATGCTTTATCTCAAATCCTAGTCTAGTGGTAAGTAATCTTCTTTCAGCACCGATATCTGCAATAGTTAAATAGCCGTGACGATCCACCCAATCCTGTTCATGTATAAGATGTGAACTGGTTATCCTTTGTATCTCTCTTGCTTTTCTCTTATCAATATAATATGTAGAAGTTCTATATCAACAATACCCAGATCCTGCCTGTAGTAAGTTCGAACCACATCCCCACGCCCTCAACATTATTACCACGATATAGAACATACCCCACAAAAGCGCATCCGTCAATAAGAAGCACTCACAAATCCTCACCCTCGAAGATCAGTCTCCGAGCACCTAACCACTCGAGGAATTTAGAACAAAGAAACGAGATCTTCCGCATCATTTAAGAAATAGACGACTTATTCATCCTGCAAGGCGGATCATGAAACTCTCTGGCCCACCCTTACGATGAGACCATTTGTGGAGGGTACTTTGAGAAAAAAACGGCAGTGAACAGAACGACTTGTGAAGGGGAAAATGATGTGAAATTGTCAAGAACTGGAGCACTTTCAATTAATCTATCGTAACCATTTTTTCCCTGAGACATCAGCGGAGTTGAAAGGAACTCTCCATCCAGGGGTAGAAACCCAAGTTCTACGCTTATTGATACTTTGTCTTTTTGACATGACAGTGTGCAGCGACCTGCCATGAGAAAAGAAAAGCTGTCTTGTTGGGGGCAAACTCTAATACTTCCGGTTAGACGTAGAGCTACAGATGCACATATGTTACATGGAGGTAAGCTCCGCTTCAATGCCTTCGATGCGCGAGGTGGTGGAGAGCGGAGGCGGCTAGAAGAGTGGACAGGAATAGAAACGCGAAGCCACCGAAGCTGGCGATGATGGCGCCTTGGGTGTAGTCACAGAATCTGGTCACATAGTTGCAGAGTTTGGGCCAGTAATGAACTTGTTGCAAGTCCTCGCCGTTCCTTGCGATTAAGGCAACCGCTAGTCCTGCTGAAGCTGCTGACATCAATGCAGACGCAGCGAGCTTCACAAGAACACAATTCCCATTCAGAAGACCATTTTCGAGACTCATAATCTTCAACTATCTTCAGCAGCATGTATGAAAAACGTGATGAAAGGTTTCTAACTTACAAAGTCGACAAGGAGTGTCAGCCATGCGCTCGGCGAGTAGCTGAGAGGTCCTCTCCGGGCGATCACCGATATGCATGCCACAATGGCCGCAATTACAGAGTACACAAACACCATGGCGTTTGCAATGACAAACCACCTGCACCACAGTATCAAGCATCCGTTGGTCACATTGCAAGTGACCCCCCAACCTCAAGTGGCAATGGCGGCACAGTAGCACCATGGTCATGAGCGATGCTGCATGATAAGACACATTTTGAAGTAACACTTACCTGTAGGCAGGGTAATCTCTCCAGCGGCCCCTGAAATAGCCGTAGACAGTGTCGGAGGTCTGCGTGGAAATGAGCATGACGATGACTGCAGCAGCAGTAGAGGCAGCAGTGAGCACCCTGAGAAGGAAGTTGGTACAACTGTGGAATGAATGATGTCTGTGATGCCGGTGGAAATCGCCATCGCTGTACTTTCTAGGAACCACAACAACTGGGTCAGACATTGCTTCTGCAGCCGATAATGTGCACTACCCGATTCAATCCTCTGATGCAGACCCTGCTTTTCTGCAAAACACACATTTACAGAATAGTTATGCGCTTTCCTCCCATGTACTTCATTGCCATCGCCAAATAGAAACCACTAGTAAGGAAGCTAACATACCGTTCACTGAAATTCGTTCCCACAAATAAGATTTTGATTATGAAAATCTTTCTGGGTGCGCTGCGGCAGCTGAAAACAGTTGAACAAGCAGGAACATTTCCATAGCTCTCATCACAATCTTCACAAGACCTGTTACGGCCGTAGCTGTGCGCATCGATTTCCGCTCCTACAATAATTGTTTGTGTTGTACACTCCCTCTGCAGCTGCTGCCCAAGATCGAATAATCACCTCTGATTGCTTCGGAGTTGTCAGGAGCACCATCGACACTACGGCACCTCTATTGGTTACTTTTTCTCTGTTATCTTGGATGCTATATTCGGCTGCTGCGGTAGATACCATACTGGTAGAGGAGTCGACGAAAACAAGCACGACGGCTGAATCGTGTAAGTTGACCGACAACAGTCAGTCACTGACCTCCATCACCAAGCCACGGATTCTCTGACAGACGCACAAGGCTCAAGGAAACAATGTGACCGCTAATCGAAGAAGAATTCTTGCCGCAAGCTTGCGGCTACAGAAGTATCGCTTGGACTGAGTCTTCGTGAAAAGGCCCAAAAACTGACAGTCCACATGCCGGCCATCTACACTGCGCATTCGGCACATTCTAGTATCATCGTGAGTTGCCGCAAAGACATCGATTCCCGTTGGAGTGTTATTAGACAAGAGCGTTGAAAACATATGGTTTTGTTTTGGTCAGCTTATTCAAACTAAATACAAACTAAATACAAGACCCTAAACTTGGTCTCTGGGAATTTGTGACAAGAACCACCACTCTCGCAGTACCTCCTGCAGCTATGGAATTGCACGAGGCTGTTCTGAGAAATATTGTTAAGTTAAAGCTTTTGAGATGATCTCATACACTTTTGAGAAGATTGACTGTACTTCCACACATAGGCGTTTCAACTGATGTGAAAAACGAGAAAAAGCATTAGATCCTCTAACCAAACAGTTACATTGTACGAGGCATTCAGCTCTTATGGTTACTCGTATAAGATCATTGAAAAGTCACTCTTTCGAAAACACGCTCCTCGAACATTACAAAATAATGCACACTGTTCTGCGAAACTCACGTGAATGTTAAAAAAGCAGTAGTTGAGGAGTAATCGGACCCTCAAGAATTACTGCATTATTTTCAGGAAACTACATGCAATGACAAGTTACCAACACGGCGACAGTTGGAAGCAGTCCTTCAAACAATCAATCAAGCCTTCTCAGTATGAAATTCTAGGTGGATGAAGATACGACAACTGACTAACTGGAATAGGAGATGAAAAATCAGAATATTATAGAGTAGCGTTGTATACGAGTGTGTAAGTCACGCCAGAAAGGATTGTCTCACCATATGCAAGTTCCAATTTGTACGTCTCCTCCACTCAGCCAAGATGAAAAACAATTTCACTTCCACGTCGACGTTGGCCACTTTGAAATACGTCTTTTCGAAGCGTGAGATTCTTTTTCGCGTATTGATAGCCACACGACTAAGTTCATGCAAGTAAGAAAAAAACGCAGCCAATGATTCAACCTCTGTTTGAATAGAAAAGAAATTTTCAAGTCCCAGTACTGGGTAATTCATCCTTTTGCCACCACTAGCATCTTCACTAAATGGCGAGATGAAGAACCCTCGCCTACGAATAAGGCTGTATAGTAAAATCTTTCGCTTCTCAAAGAAGAAAGAAGGAAAAATAAAAATAAAAATAAAAATTCCGAGAAAAAGCTGAATCCTGCGGAATTATCCACGAAGTCGCCACCGAATCTATCTCTAGTTGTATTCCGTTGGTATGAACCCGGAACTTAAAAAACCCTAACCACAACCAAAATACATTCTCATTTATACCACATTTATTTAATCATCAAAAGTCATCTTCTTTCCCGTGCCAACCAGTGGAGCAGAGGACCTTCCACCACGTCCTCCACGCCCACCACTGCGACCCCCCCTATCACCTCGGCCTCCACTTCTGCCTCCAAATCCTGTGAAAAGTACCAAGAATAAATAAGCATAATTTGTGGAACTTCGTAAGGCAATGAGTATTCTCATTCAAGTTACAGGAGTTCGGCATGTTCTGGAATTTTAAAAAATACCTCCTCTGTCACCTCCTCGTCCACCGCGACCTCCACGTCCACCGCGTCCACCACTGAAGCTGCCGCCGCCACCGCCGCCACCACTGGGTCCACCGCTGCTAGCCTCGTTGACCACAAGACTGCGGCCATTGAAGTCTGAGCCATCGAGCTCGAAGGCTTTATTCACCTCATCCTTACTCCCAAACTCAACATAAGCAAACCTGTGAAGTAAATAAAACCGTACATTCGATTATGCAACAAGTCCACACCCGTGAACGAAAAGCTAGGGACATTTTCAAACACCAATTCAAGGCTATAAGCGGTGCAATCATTTACTTACCCCTTGATTTGTCCAGACTCCCTGTCAGTAGGAATGCGAACATTCAAGACTGTACCGCAATCACTGAAGAGCTTCGTTAAACCACTACGGATCTGTTCCAAACAAGAGCATTTGGTTAAAGACTACTGAGATGTCAATACAAGTAGGACACAGGAGAGCTCAAAAAAAAGAACTGTTTCAGATTCAAAATTCCGTACAGTCTCCTCGTCTTGGAACTTATCGAAACCTCTGACGTAGGCAGTCTGGCCACCGCCTGATCTTCCCCCACGAGTTCCTCCATTTGGCCTGAATATGCAGAAACATATTGGATATTAGAGTCCGGTTTACTGAAGGTACAGCGAAGGTATCGAAAAGATACGTAAACGCATCGCGGACTTGTTTACGAATTAGATGAACTTACGTTTGGCTCCAGTCCTTGCCACCTCCAGGTGTTGCTGCTCCACGTTCACGAGCCAAGTCGCACCAAATTTCCCTTCCTTCGACATTTTGCCCACTCTTTAATAAAGCATTCTGGGCACCCTCAGGGGTTTCGAACTCCACATGCCCAAAACCACGGGACCGGCCATCATCATCCTGAGAGATCCGAACATCTGCAACAGTGCCTGCATCCGCAAAAAACTCATAGCTACAAAAAAAAAAAAAAAAAAAAAAAAAAAAAAAATGCAATTAGTACATGATCAAACTTGAGTATAAAACATATTAACGTGATTTTAACATACTTCAAAAGTCGCAAATTTAAAACATCCCAGAAGACGCCTACTTACAGTGTGTCTTGCGTAACTTTCCATGCAAGGTTCTTTACGAAGATCGTCTTGCTACCTCCCGTTGATGACGTGGTTGGAGTCTTGGCTGGAGTCTTTGCTGGAGTCTTGACCTTGTAATGATCCAACGATAAATTTTAGTAGAATGTACAATAAGAATCTACGGCAAAAGGATCGCACTAGAAGCCAAGAACTAATGATTAAGCGGCTCATCAACTCACCTCTTCTTTCTCATCTTCCTCTTCTGATTCCTCTTCTTCAGAGCTTTCTTCCTTGGCAACTGGCTTTGCAGCGACCTCCGTATTCTGAGGCTACAGAATGAGCACATAAGACGAAAATAACAGTAATATTACTTAATATCTAAAAGAATAATACGGCGCAAAAGAAATCCACATTTATCTGGAACAATTACAATAGTGGAAAATGGTTGTCGATCTTTTACCTTGGCTTCCTCCTCACTGTCATCATCATCACTGTCATCCTCTTCAGAACTATTGTCATCAGCCTTTTTTGCTGCTTTCACAACTGCGCCATTCTTGGCTGCGGGCTGAACGCAACAACCAAAAAAACAAGGTATTTCAATCTTCTCTTACCAAGCAGGATTCAGACTTCTAGATAACAGTTGACGAGCTATAAGCTGTTAAGAGCCATAACTGTACACCGCTGAAAACAATCTGAAACACAAACAGAACAGTTTGAAACAGAAGCAGAGTACTCACTAAGGGAATATTTGAAAAACAAGAAATTCTAGAGAGTAAAACTTGAGAAGCTCATAGGCATATGTCAAAATGCGCAACAGAAAAAGCTAAATCACGTGCACAACACACCATACCTTCTCGTCTTCGCTATCATCATCATCATCATCGGACTCCTCCTCAGAGCTCGTCTCTACCTTCTTAGCAGGAGCCTTAGCAACTACCTTCGCAGGTTCCTATATTTCAGAGTTTTCCTTAAGTTAATGACCCGAAATTCAACATCTTTACCAAAAGATATGCCAGTATGTACTTGACTGGGACCTACATAAGCGAAATTACTTGAGTCGAGGCGTAAGGATTATAGGCAACAAAGATGAAGCCATAGAAGAGCAACATCCCCGGACTTTCACCCACCGAAGGACATCATTATAGTTTTCCAGTTGTCACGCACTTGCTGAAATACAGATCCAATTACAGCAGATGATCAAACCTACCACATCTTCCATATCACTATCCTCGTCAGACTCCTCGGAGCTACTCTCTTCCTTCTTCGCAGGCGCCTTCGCAGACTTGGCGGCAGGCTGCATGAGAAAAAAAGGTGGTAGAATGTCATGATACAGCCTTAGCTTAGGGCTTTAAAGGAAGCCTGCCAACAAAAATTGAGTAGGCTCAACCAACAGTAAAATCTCCATTATATCACTTGCATACGAAAACCCGTAACTACCTTGACTTCCTCCTCGCTTTCATCATCGCTATCCTCTTCTTCCGAGCTTTCTTCAACAGCAGCCTTCACAGATGTCTTGCCATTTTTCGCTGGCGCAGCTTTAACAGGGACCATCTCCTAAATATGTCAAACAGTGAGGACGAGTTGAGCCATAAAAAAATTATTTCAATACACAATAATGTGCATACAATGCGAAATTCTTGGTGGGTGATCAAAGAGTAGAAAAAGACCTCATCAGAAGAGTCGTCGTCCTCTTCCTCGGAGCTGCTCTCTTCCTTCTTTGCAGGAGCCTTGAAAGTAAGTTTCGCAGCCGGCTTTAAATCCTGGAAAAGCACATGTAGTTACAGGCTGGACTCATTCAAGCATGAGAAAGCACAAAGAGAAATCTCGTGGTCCCTATTCGCAAGCAGTATCTAATACTTCAAAGGTACCAATAGAGCAAATCAAGCGAAACCTCTTCATCAGATGACTCCTCCTCGCTGCTACTTTCAACAGGTGCTTTCTTGGCAGGAGCTGCCTTAGCGGCTGCTTTCGGGGCAGCTTTAACTACGGGCTTGGGTGCCTGAAGCAGACAAAAATTGCATAAATTTACTCAAAGAAGGGCTGAAGCTAGGATCCGGAAACCAGACACAGGTATGTAAAATATAGGCTATCACCAAAGACAGTTCCGTTGATGCACACCTCTTCTTCCTCAGACTCAGAATCCTCCTCAGAAGAAGATTCCACCTTCTTGGGGGGTGGTACAACCTTCTTCTCAGGTTTAGTCTTCTTCGACACGGGGGCCGCGATGGCCTCTTCTAATGCTCTCTTCCCTGTTTAAAGAACACCGAAATGCAAGAAAATGAGTGTACGGGTACTCCATCTAAAATGGTACAACAAAGTCTACATCCACAAAACCACGACTTTTGGTGCTGGAAGCAAGAACATGAAACTAACGCCAAAGTTACATCATGTCTTAGGTTCAGTGGGAAAGTACTAAATTGTCGAACCTGAGTTCTTCTCTGATTTAGCCACGACGGGAGCAGCTACCTGAAAAATTTACAATATTTGAGTGCTGTAAGCGAAAAAAACATTAAAACATTAAAAAAACAAATAAATAAATTTTAAAAAAAAAAACGGACGAGCAACAATAAAAATAAGCAATTTCATCACCTTCCCACCGACACAATGAAACACAGTCATAAAATGTCCTGCTCGCGTCAGACCTTAGCAGAGCCGAAACGAAAATTATTACTACATACCTCAACGGATTTCGATTTCTTGCCCATCGTAGAATTCAATTTGGACTTCCAAAATCACTTGTCGATCGATCTGAAACATGGATACCACGAGGATGAGAGTGTGTCAGATGACGGTTACTGAGATTACAGACGACGAACACCAAAAGCAAGTTTCAATACGTGTAGAGGTGGCGCCTAGTCGATATCCTAACGTCTCATAAACCCCGCAATTCAACATAAGCGAATCACAGATCGTATCAATCAAAGCCAACGAAAAATAAATAAATAAATAAAAACGCACATAATTCCCACAATCGAAGCTAAAGAAACCTGCACAAAGGCTACCATGACAAAGAATGCAACTTTGCTACCCCTTCAACCCTTCTTAAACCCTCAACCTCACAGATGCTCTAAACAGAAACAAACCTCGCCACCCCAATTTCCACAGGACATATCCCTCCACAATGCACTCCAACTAATAGAAATTTAAGACAACTGAACCCGACCAAACCCAAACACTCGCTAAATTCTTAGCTGGAGAACCAATCACCATGGAAGCCATAAACCCTAGAACCCATCAAAACCCAACAGTCCGTACCCAACCAACAATGCGACGAGAAACCACAAACCTCACAGGCTGTATGGAGTTGGGCTAACAGGCCAGGTAGAAGGGCATAGAACGGCTCTCACTTAGACACAGATACTCGCAACTCGGAGAACTGCAAGCAAAACAGGACGCGTTGGCAGCATCGAGAGTATCAAGGAGAGGGACGACACGGCTCTCCGTTGGCGGCGCCGCAGTCCAGGTCTCATTTGAGGTCCCCTATTACAGCTTTGACACGTGAATTGGTTCCTCGAGGGGGAAATTCCTGCACACCGGCAGGGTTAACGCTGCAAGATTTCGTCTTCGCATCTTTATTTTTCCTTTTAATTTTCAAGCAAATATTTCATAACCTCCAACGAAATTTTCACACATACCTGTTCTGTTACAAACATGCTTTTTCTAACCAGACAAACATTTCTGAAGTCAACTATTTTATAACATTCGGTTATTCTAAAACAATCTTTTAATTTTGCATTTAATAACTCTGATATATATATATATATATATATATATATATATATATATTTCTGATATTTAAAATCTAAAATAAAACCTATAATTCTGTAGTATGCTTATTTGTTTAAGTTATGTATCATAAATGAGATATCTTATATGGAGATAATATAACATATAATGTAAGTATATATATATATATATATATATATATATATATATTCCAAAAATAAACAAAAATAAATAAATAACACATAATTTGAAGATACTGGTGGAGAGCTATGATTTAACAAACTAATAAGAAAATTTATCATTTTAAGCAGTATGGTGACACAACTCTGGTAATGGTGATAAAACTCTACAAAGCAATACTACTTAATGTTACCTTTAAGAGATTTAGAGTCAATATGAGTATGATTTTATTTTTTGGAGATTTCAAAAGCTTGAAAGTAAAATTTTGTGACTATATGTATATTTATATTTATATATAGCAAGGATATTATTACCTCTTTATTTCTATAATTTTGATAGTAATCTATAGGAATTATAAAATAATACGACTATTATTAGAACTTAAACATCAATAGCTTAAAAAAATTATCAATAGTTAAAGTGGTACAAATTTGCAAGAATATTGGTTTTTTATAAAAATAATCAATATATATATATATATATATATGTATATATATATATATATATATTTTTTTTTCTTGAAGGATTTTATAGTTTTCTAAATTTAATTTTATAATCCTTGTTCCAAAGCTATTAGCTTGATTTATAATCTTCTAAACTTGAAATAGGTTACTAGCAATTTTTAATACTTGCATATAAATATAAACCATTCAAACAAGAATAAAAGCAGAGATCAAAAATAATTTACATTGAAATATATATATAAATATATTCATTTGTAGGTTTCATGTGGATGACACCTTATTGATTAAAATTGAGTATGTATACTGTTAATTACATTATTTGATATGATTTTTTTCTAGAAATTTGTAAAATATATATATATATATATATATATATATATATAATTGTATTTAATAAATATATTTTTATTATAAAAATATATTTCTTTTAAATAATAAACAATAGAGTGCTAAAAGCATCAAAATAATTCATAATAATTAGTAAAATTATGTACTTTATTTTAAATTATTTAATAAACTATGAGAAATATTTATTTTTAATTTAATTGGTAATTTAATTTATTATACATTAAATAATAAATTAAATTGAACTAATTGAACTTTCAATTTTCTTAAAATATGACATATATGTAGATGTTGCAATGCATAGTGATTTCTACAAACAAACCTCTAAACTTAACTTGTCAATAAATAGTGCCTAGAGCATTAATATCTACAGGAGTTGAGTCTAAGACAAAGGGATCCACATAATGCCTAAAGCTCCTTTGCTACTCCTAAGTTTGGAGGCAATAAGCTAACAATAGACAAAAATGTAATGATTTTGTAATAAATCTTGTTACATTTGGCATAGTGGATATGTGCTAAATGGATCCTTTGCATAATAAAGGTAGTTTTCTACCTCCAAGATGTCACCAATTTGAATTTAATTGATGTTATCAACTTTAGTTCAATCTACAAGTAGATTTATTAAATCAAACAATATTAAATTGGAACATTGCATCTCTATAGACTACTCTCACACTGGACTATTTCTATACTTGAAATACCTTCTTCTAGACTACTGTCATCATCTTATTTGTAAATAAGCTCAAAACAAACTTTGGACCTACCTATCTTTTATATTTAAATTATTGTTGATTTTAAAAAATCATCCTCTTATTGATTGCCATGTATACCAAGTGCCAAAAGTTAAAAGCAGCATAAAAGTCAGATTGTGAGATACAAAACTACATGGAGACTCATAAATCTACGACACACAAGCCTGCTTGGCACATTTCTTCGAGGACAACACCTCTGAATTCCATGAATGGCAATGGCGACATGTGATTTGCAACCCCGTTTGAATCGAGTGCCACTTGCATCATGTGATTTGCAACCCCGTTTGAATCGAGTGCCACTTGCATCATTGCAGTTTAAGATGACGAACGATACTTCTGCTCTACAAACAAGCGGAGCCGAAGTCTTCCAGATGTTCATCTCTGACTTCTATTGCTAGGATGCTAAGATACCAAAGTATTGCAGGATTCTCCACAGATCAACTTTCTCATTCCTGTATTTGCTTGTAGGAGAGGTCATTACGTGTGAGGTTATCCATGAGCTTGAGTGGACGTAGAAGGGGCGAGAAGATCGATAACCTGCATCAGAGAAGGATTGATTCAGAAATATACATTCCCATCCACCGATGTTTCGCGCAATGAGCTGGGTTCTATTAACCACGTACCAAACTGGATTTCAGCAGGACGTTAAGTTTACTGTGAGCACACCGCAAAATGACCGAACCTTTCGGGTAAGAAGAGGTCACATAGACGGCTCTTGGATAATGATGAGACCATAGAAGATGATGCTACATTGCAGGCTATGAATGTGGTGAAACGTAATGCAGGAACCGTTTGTTTCCAGTATTGTTTCACCAGGGTCATCCACTGCTCGAAAAGTCCATCAGCTCCAACATATCCATAACACAAATGTTACGACATCGGCTGCACATCCACAAGCAGCTCGATTGCGGTGGAAGCCGGCATTTTATACATCGGCCGTTGCCACAAACATTCAATCCATGCCAGCGCGTAACTGTTGACGCAGGCGGTGTCCTGCACCGCTCCGCAGAGAGCATAACCGTACCAAGCCCGATACCCTCATATCGATCCGACCAAAGTCGCAGCCGCAACCGCTATCCCTCCCGACAACTTTTCCACGTCAGTCGGGGATCGGGTGAATGAGAATCGCTGACTCCAGATCCGTCGACTTCAGGCTGGAGAGCCGAGAATGTGGCAAATATCTGAGAGCAGTCGGCACATGAATGTAGATAAATGTCGCACACTTTCCAGGTGGTCGATCCTGCCGTCATGTGTTGCTGCTGCAGATCACTCAGATCATGCAGGTTCGACAGCGACAAGCGCTCGCATTCCAGTGCGGGAAGTCGATGACGGACCCATCAAGGCGCCAGTTATCCTTCCGACTCCCGTCGCGACTCTTGCAACAGACATAAATCCTTTGGCTTTTGAAGTTTTAGCAGCTTCGAATTATCGATGTCTTCTACATTGGGATTCCATAATGAGGGTTGCATCGTAGCCAGCCCGTTAAACCATATTTAGATGCGAGATTATGGTCAGGGATTTTATTTATGCCCATGTTTTTTGGTTCGTTGTTTTACAATGATATTTTCTGAGCAGTATATTTTGAGGTGTGACAAGATCAATGTCGGATGGTAGTCAAGAAATGAATATATAACTCGGCAGAAGTTACATTTGAAAAGCTAGATTTAATATTTAGGTTGAGAGATTAGCTGAGGAGAGATTTTCAAATTCAAGTCAATTTTTTATTTATTTGATAGCAAAGTATTATGTGGTGCCAAACAAGTCATCATACAAAGAACAAGAACATTTTGTGTACAAGAATAGTATTGAATTTTGTAGATCCATTAATTATCAAGCCTTAATTGCAAGATTTTACTGAGCTTCGGGAATCTTTGTTACTGCCCAAAACATTACCCCAAAGCATTACCAATACTTCGGAAGCACGGCATCTCAGCAGGACGCAATAAAACCACACAGCATCAAGTTCTAAATCTCCAAAGAAAGGCATCGAGCAAACCTGAAAGAGTAACTAGACTCAGTTCGTCGATATATGAGTAACATTTATAACTTACCTTGAAGTTGTCGATTCTTAGTCAACTCTGTCGATTTTCATTCAGTCAGATTCTACGTCCAAATCGCGTTCAAAACCCCTAACAAAATAAAGTTAACAAAAATGTTCCAAAACAATGCACGTGTGGGAGTTAGGAACGGATTTGCTAATAGGTCTTTTCAAAAAGAATCAAGTCCTCTGTGATAAGAGGTTGACGCTGAATCTGCTGAACGACAAAGTGAGCTGCATCCCACTGGCATATTTTCATCTGCAAGTATCATTGCTATGATAAGGTACAAGCAGATTTACGTGTAGGAAATAATGCTTCAAAAAATTTGCAACACTCTTTGGTTACTTCCAGTTCTAACGCCTAGTGACTGCACCATCTACTACTTAGGCTTCCGCAGGATCTGGTTGTTAACATTACGACCCCTAAATTCCCAATACGCATTAGCATTATGCAGATGTGGGGGTTTTGATTCTTCCCAGAATGAACATGACGAACTTTCGCCCCCTCAAATCACAACCGCCTTCGACTTCGTACTTCATCTTCTCTTTGGCCACCACGTCTACGTGCGACTTGTCCAGCATCACGAGAGAGCCAGCTAGCGCTTCCTCTATCACCATTCCGAGCAAACATCTGCTTCTCATGCTTTTCCTTCACTAAACTATCTGGTTTTTGTTCGGTCGAGACATCTACGATTCGAGAATGTTGACCCCCTGCAAAAAGGAGAAAAATTCAGCATGATTAGAGGTAGGTGAATTTGGTCACTCTATTCCGCATATATCACCACAAGCGAAGTGGGATAATTTTAATACCTGTGGAAACCTGTGCACTCATTCCAGAGTTGGACCTGGGATCGACATCAGAATGCATTCCTACAGCGACCGCTGTCTCAATGGAAGCTGCCTCCTTCACAATCTTCGTTGATTTTCTATCCTTGCTCAAAATTTCAAGCCTACGAAAGAATTCATATTCCTCCCGTACAGTATCACCTAAAAAGCTCGTCGGCTGTTTCTCTTGCACATCACTCCGGCCTCTTTCTGAGAAACTCGCCTCAGATCCTGTCTTTTCATTCATACACGCATCTTCCCCATTACAGCTATCTCCCTCCATACTATCACGTCTCTCTAAAGTAGCAAGTGCAGATTGTGCCTTTTTGACTAGCACATCAGAGCCACACTTCGCTTTCTCTACAAACCGCTTGATCAGCATCCTTCCAAGCATCTCTTCGGCTTCCAATACAAGATTTTCTTCGCTGAAAACATTGAAGTCGTCGCACTCGGATACTCGAGATTGACACTCCCAATCAGACCCGGCCGCAGGACCAGGAGTCTCCCCCTCCATTAATCCTTCCCATCGAGCAATTTTCTCTAGAACTGTGGGACTCAGTTCTCCGGGCCACTGCACAGGTGCACTTTGGTGGGACATGAAAAGCTTTTGTCTCACCTTTTCAACAGGGGTAGTCAGTCCTGCCCGGCCAACCCCAACCCCAACCCAGAATGGAGGATTATCATCGGCGGGGACGACAGGCTCAGAAGCAGGCCTCGTTGTCAAATCTATGTACTTAACGGAATAAGGAGTCTTGTGGTCTAAAGTCTCTGCCTCTGAGATGTCAGATACCGATTTCGACGACTCCATTGCTTCAGTGTATCTTACATTAGCTGTACAGTTATCTGGATTTGGGAAGGGAGGTTTTTCACTATCTAACTTTCTGTTCAGTACTGGATTGTTTACGTCAGAGTTACATGAGGTCCGTCTGCTTGGATGCGGTACACCGAGTTTTGCTTGGGAAAACAAGGCACCTCCAATGCCTCTACCTTTGAATGGTTCAGGAGTGGCTGATTCTACAGGATGATCTACCGCATCCGAAATCGATACTGAGCTTGAAAGGAGACCAAAACTTGGAGTGGCACTGCCCAACTCTACACTCTCTGCCTGATCGCCGTAAGACTCCAAACCATGAACAGAATCAATCAGCTGCGTAATAATCTGAGCATTGTCCAGTATCAGTTTACAGTCCCTTGCAGCCACTTCGGCTTGAGATCGTCCTTCGTCCTCAAATTCAATCACTGGTTGTAATAACACATCGAATGCATTATTATCTTGTTCATTGGATTCTCCTGATATTCCCCAGCCCTTGGAACTCTCTCTTCCTGTAACATCAGATTCCTACACACTAGCGCAAGGCTGAATAAGTTTAATTTGTGGCTATTCTGGGTTATCCTGAAAGATAAGTAAAATCAAATGCATGATTTAAATAAAATCATGCATACTACATGAGGCTTGCTCATACCATGAACTTGAAACACAACTTCTTCAACACATATGATGGAGAATTACACGGTGATGTGTATTTAACTACCAACATCCAATCCAAAAATGCAAAGAGTACTTGCGAGCAATGTAGAGCTGCAAGACCTATACAAACAAGTGTACCTGCTTCGTCGTTTCCATGTGCAAGCTGGATTTCAACACTCCTTGCCTTCCAGATCCTAGGCTTGGATGTGAATGAAACCCTGTTGGGATTTCCTCTGAAAGAAGCACAATAGCTGGTAGATCACCTTCCTGCACAGGAAGGTGAGAGGAATCTACACCACCTGATGAGGAACCCTCTCCCGGAACAGCTGAGACCCCCTTAACCTCTTCTCTGGTGGTTGAGCTTCGGTCCGCTGAAGTTTCACCCTTTTGGGGGGTACAAGGAGTCAAACATTCGTCACCTGCAACTAAGAACCCGTCAGACTCGTTCTCCACAAGACTCTGAAGGACTTCGAAACAAAATCAATCGTCTCTTACACATCAAAACCAGTATACTCACTTTAAAAATAAAAATAAAAATTTATCCATGCAGTAGGACAGAATGCAAAAAGTGTCCGAAACCAAGCATGTTGATACAGTCCATAAGACATACATAACAAGGAATGAAGGTAATAAGGAATACCAGAAGCAGAGGTACATGAAACCTCAGTTAGGCGTCTCAACCTTTCCTTCAACACCTCAAGCTCCTTATCCCTACTTTGTAATTTTGACAGCGCTGCCTCGAGATCCTCCTCTAATTCCGAGATTAAATCGTCTTGGCGAGCTTTCTAAAATTCACCAAGTGCCCCAACCATCAACAAAAACCGGAAGAGAAATCAAAAGTTCTGCATCCTTACAGCATCGCCAAAACTAACTACTAGACGGTAAAATCACATTAAGAGTTAAACAAATGCATTAGAATTAAAGCTAAACCACACATGAACAGACCTGCAATTTGTGCAATAAGCGCGTGAGCTCTCGGGGTGAAACGGCATAATTATTTAAGCATGCAGGTTGTGCAGGAGGTGACAGATCTTCATCAGAAGATTCTTCTACTCTAGCAGGTAAACCTGTTGGTGCTAGATCTCCATGAACCACAGATACAACACCATCCGTGTCTAGCTGCAGTAACAATGATCACACAATACCAAACATATGAGTTCATCTGAAGCAAGCGAAATAGCTTTGTGGTTACATTCCGATTCTACATGCTGCATTTACTTTTTATACGAATACATTCATAAGTGTCACCATTGGTCAACAGATGTCCAGCTGGCACGTCAGACTTGAATTGGAAAAGGGCAGACCTCGTCGAAGGCAGAATATTGACTGTCCATCGTTGCGGAGTCGCGACCAGTAAGTTGATCAAGTTCAGCTTCCAACTCCGCTTCGAGATCAGCCATTTGATCTTCTTGCTCGATGTCACTTACCGAAGCTGAGTCAAATCTGTCATTACGAACAGCACCTTCCCTTTTTGCGAGTTCCAACTTCAATCCCTCCACGCTCGCTTGCGCCTCTTCCAGAAGCTTTCTTAACATATTCACTTCAGTTCTATGTGAGCCGGAAACAATCAAAACCCCAAGAGCCACTCCAAATATGAAAACCAGTGTGTCGAAAGAAACCACCGCTGAACCTGAAATCAAAAGGATCCCCACATCAGGACACCGTATACAACCTTTAATCCGATAACTAGCACGAAAAAAGTCGGTGTTAGAACAAAATAGGGATTCTAAAAATTAATAATCAAAACGTTTCTGTTCCTAAACCTCTCAACGTAGACATCTGCGTTATCTACGTAAAAAGTCCAACTTCGACAAGGCCACTCGGAGGTTTCTTAATAGAGTGATACAGCGCTACTAAAATTGCCATCAAAGAACAACAACTTTCAATCCCAGGCTCAAGACGGCCATGCCTGATGACATTTACTGAATCTAAATCTCACCTTAGGCACGGGATAGCTTATTACAACTTCCAAAAACAAATCTCGTGTAGAAAGGAGCTAAGAGTAAAAGAATAAGCAATGAAAATTCTTTGATTACCTTCTGAACTAAATCTATACAATCCCAGCTCAGAAAAATTTGAAACAAATCCTCTACAATCAGCTACATTTTGGTTCTTTAAATGGACTAGTACAATCGGCTCCTTACAACTGCTGCCGTTGGAAGAGTTTGAAGCCATATCATTTTCTGAAACACCTTTGTTGCCTGTGACATTGTTGGTGATGCTCTCGTCCTTGCTAGTTAATGCTAGCTTTGAAGCATATTCTTTCAGGAACTTTGAGAGATTTGGCAGTTTTAACAGTCCAGACCGCCTGGAACTGGAGCTGTTTTCGTCAATCACATTGATATCACGAGAAGGTGAAGCTGGAATATCGACAGGCTTCAATGTCTCAGACTTGGCTTTCGCAACTGCAGGAGATGGGAAATTAGGCGGCCGACTTATGACCTTGACTCGGTTTGGAACAAATAAGTCTGCCATCTGAGCCCTGAGACAACTCTCCAAGGACGACACAGCCTTTGGAGAAGCACTTAGGCCCCGCACTTTTCGAGCCAAGGCTGCGCCTTTGCTGTTCTTGACTGCAGATTGCCTCCTGTAACCTGCGATCGATTGATCCTCTCCCTTCGCGATCGTCCCCCAAATACCAGCAGCATCGTAGCCCAGGAAAGGGTCACTGTGACCAACCAAACCCCATGAGAAGGCATCAGGCTGTATGTCAGAGGGAGCCAAGTCCGCTGCTGCTCCCATTCCATCCTTTTTCTTCTTCACAGAGGAAGAATCCCATACGAAGTCCCGGGCATCCGCGAAACTGGTCCTTGTGGAACCAGACCGCTTACTAGTGTGGTTGAAAGATAAATTTACTTTCCTTCGGTCACTCATGTTTCCTTCACCCTTGCATCCAAGATGATCGCTTCTAGAAGTATCCTAACCTCAAGTACTCCTCCTGCAAACGTCACCAAGTTTCCCAAACCATTTGCGGACTTGGAATTCGAAGTCAACTCTCACCACCAACTCAACGTCCCAGGGTGCACCATGGCAGAACTCCAGCTAGTCAAGACAATCAAACCCTATTGAATGATCTTTGTCTTTCTCTTCAGATGTGAGTTATTTTCCTTCCAGCAATGTCTTGCCTTTGCACAGATTGAAGACATTATCGTTGTATGGAAACTCTAAGTTCGGCTCAAAAACGCTGTTCGCGTTCAGCGGCTCAGCGTTCAAAGGATTGTCAACAAATTCGGCGGGTGAATGCAGGTCACTGTGCTTAGCATCACATCTCCTTCATGGAGACAGATATTCTCAGCGCGTTGCAGTCGTATGTGAGTTTACTTTGACAACAAGTTTTCAAGGATCCTCGCAAGTACACGACATGTCAGCAACTACAGCCGAGTCGATAGAGAATCTCTGATAGTAACACCACCTGCCACATTGTTATCCAATACTTCGGCGAGACAAGGAGCAGACTGAGATTCCAATATGCAGGGCCCTACTTCAACTGCAAATGAAAGATTGGTCTTAAAGCTTCCTAATCTAAATCGATGCTGGTTCTCATAAGCTACAAAAATCATCACCTTCATCTCCTTCACAGGTTAGTTATTCCCTCGAACTCAGGAGAAAACTGATGCAGCCGTGTACAACATATTATGTAGCGGCTGCGTAGGGGGCTCCAATATCTTCCGCATGCAAATTCTTCTCCTCGTCTAGCTGCCCAAGTTCAACAAGTCTCTGATTTTCTGGGATATGATTGAATTCGTCCGCATCCTCGAGCGCATGCGTACATCTGCGAGAACCTCCATAATCGTGACTAAACCTTATGGTGAGTACCCTGATTGGAATCAATCTACTCTGCTAGACCTTTGAAGATAGAGAACTCCTGGGTGGTGTTGAGCCAGTTGACGCCTGCTCTGCAATCAGGCCACAAGAAGTGATTAAAAAAATTATTCGTGTTCTAAATACATCCCTTCCACTACGTGCTCTCATTCTGCAGGGAAGCATTATGCTCTCATAAGCAGGCACTTGTCTCCTTAGCACACGTTCAGACTTGAGTGATGCTCGAAACTAAGTGTATCTTCAAAACCAATCGAAATCCTCGCAAGGGTCAAATTCTTCACCTCTAACTTGATGCTCTTGCCGATATCTCATCCCTAATGCAGAAATTAAGGAATCCTAAGCATGCTCCTTACGACATGACATCTGGAAACTTCAACCTGAAAAAGAACTATCCCAGTTAAATCCACATTCTGTCATGGTGGTGCCATGGAAATCAAAATCCTCCCCAGAGGCGTATCCAATAGATGCAAGAACAGACGACATTGAGCCATATACTTCACTTACAATCCACAAAGGCGCTCAAGTCGACTAGAAAGAGATGAAAACAAATGTTTCACAATGAAAACCTCCTACACATGCTTCATTCGACATCGGTGCGGAATCCACAACCACGACATTATTAACAAGTACCCGAGCCTGCTCAAATCAAGGAACTTTCTTCGTGTACATTGAAACTTCTATGTGAGGAAAGAACTACTCGTGTGACAGTTACTATCAGCAATACTTGCTAATACACAGAGCTGCGAATAGTCCACCTACAACAGCGTCATTCAAGGACTTCTATAAAGTCTGACCATACTGTACAAAAAAAAAAGTGGGCTCCATATGTTCAGGTACACAAATCCGCGATACTCAAACAGCCTTCAAGTGAGTACTTCAGAATGATGCAAGCCTCTGACCAAGATTACTTCAAACTAACCAATCTCAGATTGGCATTGTGCATTTAAGAAATGCTACGGGCCTAAACCGTCTTACTGAGGACTTCTTCGCAATACAAGATTGAGAAACGTTACACTTTCCGAATTCTGCTCTTCTGTGTTGATTCCAAATTAACTAGTATCTCCTCATTTCCCAAGATCATATGAAGGTGACGATTCTAGAAAGTAACGAGCCCAAGCTGTCGGATCAGACACAAAAGCTTCAATTCACTAATCTCAAAAATCCATTTCATTAAAGCGTGACATCATCTGATCGCGCGTAATCTACAAGCCCCTCCCTCTCTGTCCTGCTTGTCATCTACCTGGTGCAGGGCTCCAAACAATGTAACCTGCGCTCCTCCCTGGGGAAATCGTCCCGGGGCGCATCTTTCACTCCTAATTATTCTTAGAATCTTCACCACCACCCAAGGCAATCACAGTCGCAGTACAGATGAGATTTCACAACACCCTAAAAGACTACCATGGAACCAAAAAATACATAGAGCAAAAAATAAAATAAAACAAAATAAAAACCTGTTGCTCTACGCCTTCCCCTGCGCTCGCTCGCTAGTTGGCTTTCTCTCTCTCCCTCTCCCTCTCCCTCTCTCTCTCTCGCTCTCTCCGCCTATCGAACCTATCCAGAATGCGGTCGACACAGCCCTCGAAACCTCACATCCCTCACTCCCACGGACGAACCTCAATCCACAACAACGCAGTCCAGCTCCCCTGTCCTCACCCTACCATCAAGAATCGACTCTAAAACCATAGTTCTAAAGCCTGCGTCCCCAGGGCGATGATTACTGAGAAATCCGCAGGAGCTCACCCGGCGGCAGATGACTAAGGGAGGAGGCAAGGAAGGAGTCTGCGAGCGCGGCGCCATCATCTGAGCGACACTGCGCAATGGCGATACTGATGCGCGTGTGGGATCCGTCGGTCAACGTGCAGCATCAGCGATCAATGCTGCCGGGGTAAAAGCTGTGGAGCGTTGTTGCTCTCATCCATGATCCCTCTCCTCCAGGATGCGGGTGTGGTGTTGGTTGGAGGCACGAAGGGGGAGCGTTCCATCACGGCGGGGCGTGCTCAGCCACGACCACAACGACGACGACACCCCGGGTCCTCTGCTTCGTTTCCATCTCCATTCATGTGTTTGTTGTTTCTTCATCTCGGGAGTAGGGCTCGCATTGTGAGCCAGCCCAGCGAATGGTGCGCGACGTTGGGCCCCGGAACCAGGCTCTGGCCTTCGCCCCCCATTGCTAATCCTGCAGCGGTTGATACCCTCCTTCTTCGCTTCTTCGCTTCTTCGTTCCGGGTATCACGCTTTCCTCCACCAGAAGCTTCCCATTGGCACTATATTCCCATTTGCCGCTGCTTATGAGAATTCCGCCATCATAAAAATCCCACTCCTCCGCTCCCTGTGCTAAAAATAAAACGAGGGAGAGAGGATAAATGGAATCCTGACTGTGGAAGGAATGGGGGTTGTGTGAAGAGGGGAGCATTTTCGAAGGATGGGGACAAGAGGAGGCGGCTTTGCCATTTGTGGGTACCACTGTGAGTCTTAGCAGCAACCCAAGTTGTTCCCATTGATTCAGCTTTGGAACACAAAATAACAGATAAAAATATGAGATGTGACATTTTGAGACACTCACTGGATACAGTTGGTGGGGAAACCTAGTTGAGATACAAGATTCATTCATTACTTGATTAGTTGCCATATACCTCACCAAGATCCCAACTTGGTTCCCATTGAAAATTAATGCGACTTCCCTCATGCCACTTGTGCCTGTCACAATACCAATCCACATCAAAGACTGTAAACAAAGGACAATAACTAATGAATAAGAAGAAGAGAGAAAGAGAAAGGCTTTCATTTTCAAATAAATTTCATACAGAAAGTAATAAAGGAACGTTAAGTAAATTCGAAGGATAAGTGGACAAACCACCGCATTGCTCTTTTTGTGGAGGACCGCCACATGTAGAGATTAGTTATTCTTCTTCCGGTTAAGCATCTTTATTTTTGTGGTGAGGCTGGAGCAGCTATCCATGCTTATCAACAACTTTGGGGCTGGATGGTGATTTGTTTCTTCATCTGGAGCAACGAGCGAGATTGTAAGAGTCCTTTTTCCCCTTGTGGATGGGAGGATAGATGGACCCCAACTCCACGGCCACACACAGAAAAAGCAGCAAAATTAAAGGTGGAGAAATTTGTGGATGGAAGGAAACTTATGAAATGATGGACCCCTTGATTAAAGACAACAAAACAGAAAAGCAAACCAAACAAAAAAAACAAAGTGTGTGGCAGTAATTTGTCGCCGAAAAAGATGTGTATTCTAATTCTATACTCGAGGATGAAAGGAATGAAAATGGTGCGGGCTAAAGTATGATCTAGATAGATGCATAGCGAGTAATTACACACATTCCAACATTGTTTATACTCCATTTTTTGTGAAGAGATGAAGGGTTTTTGTGGTATTTTCATTTGTATTTGTGGAAGTTTTCCAGAACATTCTGCTGCACATGGTCTCTCCAGGCTTGAGGCCGAGCTTTTCTAGAGCATCCCACGAGTAGCCACGTCACACCTCCAAGCTCAGAGAGTAGCCACGTCAACCCTTCCCAACTATTACAGACCAATGGTTCTTGTGCCCACGTCGGTAAAAAAAAGACCATTGTGTGTTGTGGGGAAAGCTTTTGCCTCTCAAATAAGAAACAATACCAAATACGATAAAAATAGAAATAATTTAAGGGCGACAAGCTGATTAAGGTTGTAGGATCTATGTCAAATATTTGAACTTGTCCAAATAAAACCGTGTTTACACGTGCAGTCTCTCTCTCTCTCTCTCTCTCTCTCGCTCACTCAAACTTTCCATAATAGACTTGTAGATAGAGAACAATTCCATATGATGTGAAGTAACATTTTTATATAAAAATTGGAAAGTAAATTAACTAAAATATAGTCTCATTCTACTGTATACGTCATCTCTTGTCTTTTGTTTTCATTTTTCTTTTTGCTAACGCAACCACCAAAATTAAACAACATTTATATATCTTCAATAACATTTATACTACCATTGCAGTAATAATAATAAGAATACTAGTGCTAAGGAAAATGTTAACAGTGGTTACAAAGGTGTTTTTATGCACCACAGAGATATCGACTGGTGGAAAGTCAATGCATGTGAAAGGCTCACAAATCATTGAGATAGTACCCTGTCAGTTATCATCCATGGGGTGAATTTCAAGTTGAGGGTTTGCCTCAACCACAAATAGTCCAGTTTGGTTTTAGGGTTTTTTGTATTTTTTGACACAGAGATTCACACTGCATACATTGCTGTATGGATTTGGTCTCCAAACCTTATGGTTACATTACAAAGCCCTAGCTAGTTGATATAGTCTTTCCAATTGATGCAACCTTGTATAATTTTTAGCATTATTTATTAAAGTAATGTTTTTGTTTAGCTTTTTTCCTCATGGCAATGAATTGGACAACAATTGTTTGGTACTCACCTGTGGTCATAGTTTGAGGTAGTTCTTTTTAATTCCTCTTGCCTATTAAAATTATCTATTGAGCATTAGGTAGTGGATAGATACAAAAATCCTTTTTTTTACAAAGATTTTGGCGTGATTAGATCTTCACCATGAAAGGAGTCATAAACTCAATCCAAGTGGAGTTGGGTAACTTACCTCCTACTCTCTGCAACAGTTTAGGATGTTTGTGTTACATCTTTTGCAACAATATGTGCTTAATGGAGCTCATTCCATTTGGATTATCATGTAAACATGCACAATAACAAATTTTAAACATGTCCAAGTTCCTTAAAAACATTAGTCATCCTTGGATATAAATCTAGGGATAGTTTCTCCTTTTCCTGAACAAGGCAACATCATCATCTAATTGCTAATAATCCCCTCTCAATTTTAAAAAACTTGACAGCAAAAGCCAAACAGGGTTTAGGGTTTTGGTCATGCTAGAATGTGATGCCCATGAACCTGTTCAGAGAAAGGGTCTAAAACCAATGCACTCAGCATATTATGGAGCCACACCTGAAAACTGCATCCCTGCCTCAATAGGATTCAGATTCCAAATTCTTCCTGACAGTTAACTACCTGGTCTGGTGCCCTTCACTGTCAGGAATTTGACAATTCCACAGCACTGAGCTTTATTCACAGGCAATGTGCAAAGGGTCCTCAGGAACACATGGGAAGCAACAGCCTGTCTTGTCTCACCTGGGACAATGTGTTGTGGATTTTGTACTTAGGTTGGGAGGATTCAGCAATGACATCCGACTGCGGCTTTTCAGATTATTCCACTACATTTCTCCCTAAGGATGACAATTGTAACATGTGCAAACAAGAGGGACAAATCTTAAAGTTCACTCCTTAGATCCTTGGAATGCTTGAGAGTTGTGGTAGAGAGGCTGCAGTAACATTGCAAATGTGGACATTACCTTTGGTTCACTTGTATGCAATTTCACTCCTTGAAGCTTGACATCAGCAAAGTATTTCAATGAGGGAGCAGTTGGGTACTTCCCTTGATCCCACCAAATCTCATTAATTTCACTGGCACTAAGTGTGCTTCTGCCAGGTTTAGGTAAAGCTAAGTATTATGTTACAACTACTGTAAGCTGCTTCTTGATGTGGTTGGCAATCTGTGCTCCGTCGTGCATTGAGACATAGCTCCAGCTCTGTCACAGCACAACTTAGCATTGCACATGGCTGCAGATCATTTATTCAACTCATCCAATCACACTTGTCAAATGAGCTGTACTTGATTAGGATAATGCTTTAAAGGTTCAGTTTCATGTTCTTGTAATGTTTTCCTAAATCAATTGCCAGAGTAGGGTTACAACCTAAGCTACAGTAGGGTCTCCAGTGGACATACAAGTATGAACAATTTAAAGTTGACATTAAACTAAACTAAAATAAAATAAAATCCATTGCATAGATTTTGAGTATCTGGAATTCACTGTTACAAACTCAATTTATGTTACATGTTCACAAATAATAAGTGAATATATATATATATATATATATACATTTTTTTTCTTCCTATTTTAACATAAATTTCCAAAATTTCATTTGGGGTCTAGAAATATGTTGGGTCTAACTTATTTTAGCAAGCTAAAAAACAACATCTATGCCACATTCCTCAAATCCAATTTGCCTCAACCTCATGTAGTTGTAATCAGGAGAATTGAATGGCATAATTATTGGATTTCCTTTTTTAGGGTTTTGCATAGGTAGAGGTGAAGCCCCATAAGGAGCTTTTATAGCTTGAGCTGCCATAAACACCCATCCAGTGGTGATCAGGGGAACAAGAATGGCATCATTATTGGAAATTCTTTTTTAGGATTTTGCACATGTGGTGGTGTAGCCCAACTTTGCAATGAAGGGATGAAGTGTTTGCAAGCACTCAATGTCTACCTCAATGGGTACCTTTCTCTGGCTTCATAGTTCAACAATTGAAAGGTCAAACCCTACCCCTAAACATCCTTGATAAACAGTGACCCTTATCATAAATTAAGACAAGTTTAGGGTGTGAGTAACCACAGATTTGCATGTTAACTGTAAAATATCATTGTCTTCTTTGTATGCCAACTACTCTGATGTTATCACATTGATTGAGATATTCCTGTGTCAATGCTTGTCAAGCCAGTTGGACTAAGCAGAAAACAATTACCTTGTGGAATATAATAAGTTTTGTCATATTGTCTTTGCAAGTTAAACACTCTTTATTTTCTTAGAAATCTGTGGTCTGCGGAGATTATGAAGCAAATTGTTCATGTGTGTATTTGTAGATAAGTGTGTAAATACATAAAAATGTGATTGGATTCTTGAATTTGTGGCTAATATAACTCTACTTGGTTGGAAATAAGTTGTGATAGGTTACAATATTTACTATCATACAAGAAGGCATTCTTTTATTAGACCATAAATGCAAAGTGCGTATAATGTTTTACTGAAACTTTATTTTTCATGGTATGTTAGAAAATGTTTATTTTATTATTTTGTAATATTTTGTAAATGGGAACCATTAGGTGGATATTCCCTTTTTACTACATGGACACCCTCCTGCCATTTGCACAATCCCACCAAATCCCATTATTTTCACATACATTATAAAGTATTCATAAGTGCAATAAGTTTAGAAATACCAAGTAGAACTAAAAATCAAACATTATTAAATAAAATGCATTTATAAGATGTAAAACCTTAAAACAATCATTAACAGAGTAATTAAGACCAACATTGTTGATTTTTTAAAATAAATATCTGAAAGGGATTTGAATATGTAACAGAGTAATTAAGACCAACATATTCAAATCCCTTTCAGATATTTATTTTAAAAAATCATTGAATAATAATAATAATAATAATAATAGTAAAAAAGTACATGAAATACTGTATTATAATTAATTCTAAAACTTTGTTTCAAATGTGATCAGCAATGGAATATATCTATATTTTTATAATATTATTCAATGTTACAAAATAGTTACGTCTAAGTTACCAAAAAAGATGTGTTTAATTATTTTATGTTGGTCCATTAAAAAAAAAACGTTTAAATCAATATATTTTAAGTACATATTCCATGTTTCATTGTATAATAGCAACATAATTAATTTCTTAACATATCCTATTAAATTTATTAAATATATAAAAACGATAAATCATTAATAACATGCAATTGCAATGTAAATAGAATATTTTAACAGAGCAGATGTTTATTTATTATTTTATCTTGATAGTAAACTATTCATTCAAATGAAAAAAGTAAAAAAAAATACATATATTTGTAAAAGTATTGGATCATTTCCCTAATTTAAGTTAGAATTACCAAACATATTCTTGAATTTTCTTCCTTGCATTAATTAAAGGTTTCCTTCTCTTTCTATATATTCACGATAATGTACACATTTATTTAATTATATATATATATATATATATATATATATATATTTCAAATAGTAAATTGGATTTTGGCATGTACATTTATACATATATATGTATAGTTTCAATAAATTATAGCCTGAAAATTAATTAAAGATAAAGATCATTATTTTAGAATTAATTTTCCTATTTGTTATTTTAGGGTATGTAAGTATATAAATTGACATTATTATCAACAATAGAATCCTTGATGTTGTGTAGATAATTCTAACCCTAAATTCTCAAACCCTAGTTGACACTAACAAGACCAACTAACATAAAATGCTAAGTATATGAAAACCCACTAAACCAAATTAAACTACATTCATCCAATGTGACTTGGTGCTCAATATCACATCACATCACATTTATTTTTATCTTATTTATAATATTATAAATAAAAGTTTGTTGCAAAATAATTTAATTATTCATTTTAACCACTCAATTTGGGCCCTAAATGCAAAGTGGTGATATCTTATTACATTTGAGGGTAAATTTGCTATTATCACAAAAATGAGGGATAGATTTGCTATTATCAAGAATATAGGGGTACTCTAGATATTTCAGCATATTTGAGGGATATATATATATATATATATATATATATCTTTTTTTCTTCAAAAATCTTTAATCCATAATATTACTTGAAAAAAACTTAAAGATATTTGTAATGAGATTAAATTTCAAACAATATAATACAAATTATCTTTACTACTCACATATCTAACTTGCTATAACCAGAATCAATAGAATCCCATCATTTATGTTTTCAAATTATTGTTATTATTGCTTGTGATAGAATTGCAAATTTTGAAATGGCAATTATAATTCTAATACAAAATCGTAAATATAATATGAGCTTAATATATGTATATATTTGGATTTTTATTAATGTGAACAAAGTCATTATTAACTCTCAATTTTGTTATTTGTTTATTTAATGTACAATTTTTTACCAATATATTATCGTTTTTGTGTCTCATCAACCAGTTTTAAGATCCTCCAGTGCTGCATCTCAATTATAAAAATTTAGTATAAAGTCTAAAACACAATAATTTTTTCTAGACACAACCTGCTCTTTGCATTTGTGTCGAACATAAGTAAACAACAACAGTTTTGTAAAAGAAACATATAACAAACGAAGTGAGAGAAGGCATATCAATTACCAATGCAAATCAAAATATACAGTTTATGGTAGTACAACGTTGTAACTTAATCCTAATCCTTTTGCCTTTCAATATATGGGCGAATTTACCAAAATTTGAAAACTAAAAAAAGACTATATCAACAAAATGGACAGAAAGAAGAAGAAGAAGAAGAATACATTTGGTGATATACTTACTCTTCCAATGCAACACATCTATTCCACGTTCTACTCCAAGTTTTGATGCATGCTTTCAAAACTGTGCATGTTTCTCACACTACTGCCAACACCAAGCTCACCTTATCTGCAGAATCAATGGACACTGCTCAATCAATGGACAACTTTAGTATTGGGTGGTGAACAAAATACCAAGTTAGGCAAAACCAAAACCAAAATCTCACAAGCCACATACCAGACATTGTGTCGGTATGCCATGAATATGAGGTTGTGTTTTAACAAAACATTGCACCACATCTAAGGGTTTCACGTTTCAGCATAACTTGGTGGGAATGCTCTTATCTTGGTATTACAGGAGTGAAGTCACAACTGGAGAGGATGAGGAAGAAGAAAGAATACCCAAAAGCTGGAAGTTTTCGAGTGAAGATTGGGAGTCTTGGCTGATGGACTGAAGATACGAGGCCGTCTTGTGCAAGAGCTTGGTTCTTGCTCTCGCGCATGAGGTAGTGCCCTCTCCCGAGCAAAATCATGGTGTGTATGGGCCAGTTACACAACAGTTTCGGTTCAACTAGAGCGAAGAAAATCATGTAATTGCAAATGCCCGTGCACCTAATTTAGTTGATAGTTTACACAAGAGAATGGTTTTACAAGGATGGTTGCTTTTGTACACTCAGTTACATAGATCCACTCCTTTTATAGTCACCTGGGAGCACTAAAGGTTATCGAGGCCTCTACAGAACTGGGTTCCGACAAGATTTGGATGCTTGAGAAGTCCAGTGCCGACTGCGTGTTGAGATCCAGGATTCGAGTGAATTGCGTGTTGAGCGCGGATTGCATCGGTTGAGGTGCGGGCAGCGGGATGTGGATTACGCCTTCCAGCATTTGCACCACCAGCGGCATCGAAGGCCTGGCGTGCATATCCTCCTGAAAACGAAGCACCCGAAGCAGCGCGTTGGTATTGTATGGCATTAATTTAGAAATCATAGAGATCATGTTAAAGCCACGAGGTGGTTGTGGGAGAAGAACAGTACCTGAATGCAGGCCATTGCGACCCGGAGCATGCGATCTGCTTGCCTCATATCGAATTCGCTCATGGGACACAGTTTAGCATCGACAATGTCTGCCACGCTGCACCCTTGTTCGATTTTGCGGTATGCCCACTTGGGGAAGTAATGCTTTTCCACGTCGCTGTCCACGTCGCTGACGTTTCTCCGCCCACTGAGAATCTCAAGCAGCACCATGCCGTAGCTGTACACATCGCTCTTGTCAGTCACTGCTGAGAATATGAGCCACTCGGGCGCTAGGTAGCCTGGTGTCCCTCGCATTTGAGTCACCACCTGCGAAACCCCATGGAAAGATCACAAGGTCAGTAAACTACAAAAGATGCAGGAGAAGTTAACAACCCTAATTGCAGTCATACTCATGCGGTAGAGGAGTAATTAAATGTACCTGACTGGTAACCGATCGACTCATCAACTTCGCGAGACCGAAATCGGACACCTTCGCAGTGAACTTCTCATCCAGTAGGATATTCTGGGGCTTGATGTCCAAGTGCACAATCCTCTCCTGGCAATCGTGATGAAGATACGCCAAGCCTTTAGCTGTTCCCAGTGCGACATTGAACCGCGTTGGCCAGTCAATGAAGTCAGTGAATAGCCATTGATCCAGGGAGCCATTCACCATGAATTCGTAAACGAGAAGCCGGTGAGCACCCTCTAGACAAAACCCCCGCAACCGAACAAGGTTGATGTGATGGAGGTTGCCGATGGTGGCTACTTCCGTGCGAAACTCCTTGTCTCCCTGATTGGCGCTCTGCAAAACCTTCACTGCCACTCTAACTCCACCGGGGAGCAGCCCCAGATACACTTGACCCGAACCCCCTTCACCAAGAATTCTTCTGAACCCATCCGTTGCCGTGAACAAATCACCATAAGTGTAGCGCGGCGGTAGGCCAGGCAAGGTATCCAGGAAAGCATTCTCTGCTGCGATGCGGGAGCTGCGCTCGGGCGGGTCAATTCGAATGGCTTCCAATCTCTGCAGGGAGAATCCAGGCGGGGGTGTGAATGTTGGCACATAAAGCTTCTGGGGTTTTGGGCTACCGAGGAGGCAGCACCACCGCACTCCGAGGCATGCGAGCACGCAGACTACGATCAACCCTGCGACTATCAGCACAAATACGATAATCAACACGTATATGTAAAGCTGGACGTCCATCGCAATGGCAGCAGCTGGATTTTGCACCTTCGTATCAACCCTCAATGCTCCTCAACCTACGCAATCGCCACCAATGCATTCATGAACTCTCATCTCGACATAGTTCAACGGCGGTTTGGGCCGAGGTTGAGTTTTCCTTACAGGAATTATCTCGGGGAAATTCAAAAACATTAAGTCGTTCAGACGACCGTCGAACAAACACATTGCTGCGGCAACCTTCACTGGAGAGTGTGGATGGCTTCGGGAGAAGCGAGCCGCAAGGGGTAGCGTCACGACATCTGGCTGGGGCTTCATGCAACCTACTCACTACTGCATTACATGTCTCGTAAGCAGCAGGTGGATCATTCACTGAAGACAAAAAACACAAGATCAGAGGAAGACATCTGGAAGGAATAAATTTTGGCACCTTATTCGGGGAATTGTGTATTTGGGCTGTTCCTGCTGTTGATGTGCTACTGGACCTGCAATGCTTCAGGTGGGCCTCCATATCTGCATCATTGCCTAAAGTATTTTGGCTCGGCCAGAAACCAACTAATGCATTCCGCACAGGTGGTCTTGCACGCAACGTTTCAGAATTGGGCTTCGACACATCAGATCGACATGTGCCTAGGTCGCAGCTTTGGAGGCGAGCAGAGAGGCATCTCTCTTATCAATTGGAACAGTATTTATTTTTTATTTTTAATTGTCCCTGAGAACGCCACGCTCTGCATTACTTTCAAATATGGCCAAATGTCGACCTTCTCGTTGATTTGTTTCTCAGCTTGTTTCCTCGTGTGGCCCGCCTCCATATCCAGTGTTGCAGGTCTCACTTTGTATTGACTGAGATGCTCGGGGTTCAGAATGCAACAAATGATCGTGCAAAAAGTGTGCATGTAAACGCACCGCTCAGAATTTAGCTAACGTTCCAAATATACAAGAACCTCAGGCTTGTGGAATCCTCGTCTAAAACTAGTACCGCACAAGGACTATCATATCAACTTCCACCTGGTTTCTCATGAGAATTGTGCCAATTTTTTAGTGTTGTGTCCAAACACCCTATCTAGCTCGTCTATGAATATTGGAGCAACTGAACCGAAAACGCTTGTTTCAACCCTTCGTGTGTTAGACTGGAGAACGGGGGAGCCGTCAAATAGCCACTACTTCCGCCATGTCATTTCCTAGTTCCATGACCACGTGATTCATTTTCAGCTGCAACATTTGGAGGCAACAACAAAGGAGAACTTGAGAAGCTAACATATAAAATTGACACAACAAAATCGTCTACCAGTGGAGGGAAATATGCATAACATATGAATGTTCCACATGGCAACTGAGATGAGAAGTGACCACAAGTTCGTTACACCGAAGTTAGTTTAAGACGATGGCAACAAAAGAGCGGAGAAGACATACCATTCGTAATTTGAACAGCTCATTCAACACTTGATCAAGGTGGGTGATGGCGTGCAGATCATGTTTGATATCCTCTAAATGAAGGAGCAACCAAATCGATGGCAAGACAAATGTGATGGAAAGCCAAACAACTAGCCGCCACAGCTTTCAGCATGAAAAGCCTTGCAGAGGTAAAAGATCTACAGCACTCATCAAAAGATTTTGAGCACTAGCTTTGAAGGAGATACCCACAGCTACTGGATTAGTGTATGAGGTGAGCAGCATGCAGACCTAAACTGACTCAAATTTGTTAAGGGTTCATTTAGGGGAGAAGCTGAGAGGTCACAATTTTAAATTTTTTGATTGGTTGAAATTGAAAAGTTTCACTTAGTTTGTTTTACATTTAAGAAAATTAGCTTAAGTGTTGCTAAAAGATTAAAAATGTTTTGGATTGTATTTTTTTTCCTACATGGCATTAATCATGTTGTCTTCTGCAATTTATGATAGTTTTATCTCAAAGAAAGGGTTTTATTAAAATATCAAAAGTTATATATATATATATATATATATATATATATATATGTATGTATGTATGTATATTATAAGAATAAAAATTAAAGATATATAAAATTGTTTGTTTAAATGTTTGTTATAACTATTATAATAGAAACATAGGCTATCATATTTTATTTTATTTTTTGATAAAAAAATAATTTGATTCATTTCATGATTCCTTTTTACTTTATACTATCTTTGTAGACCAAGGCTTCTTAAAAAAAGAGTTTTTCTTCACCAAGTGTGGGACCTTTGTCATGCTTTTATATCAAAGCCTTATAAAATTGATATTTAGATTTAAAGACCCGCTAAAAGAATATGTTTGGAACTTTGAAGAATGTTGGAGAATTCATTCTTCTTATTTGTAACAACATGATAAATCTACAAATGTTTCTTTTGCAAGTGAGTAATTTTTGCCTTAGTTGTTTTGTTGATTTTTTTCTTGAAAAAAGGTAACCTCTTTGGTATTTTCCAGCATGATAGCTGAGATTTCAGGTCTAGAACTAGACGAAAAGTACCAATCTTTTTGGTGCAAATTGCAATTCTTTGTAATGGGTTTTCTTGAACTATAAACATATTAGTATTTGTTTGAGATGACTCATTTGAAAGTATCATTAACTGAAAAAACCCTAATTGTAAAAACAATTACAATGTATTTTAATGATAATTATTATAAACAAATATTTTTTTTTAAAAAATAGATAGGTAAGATGTGGTAATAATAATCTCAAAAATAAAACCATATGAAATAAAATTAAGATTGATAAACTATATATCTATATATATATATTTATAGTATATACTTTTTTATTTTATTCATTGAAGCATATATATTTGATTGATGCAAAAAATTATTTAACTAATATAAGGTAAAGCATTATACAAAATATTTATAATATTTTTTCAATTAATAATACTTAATTTAATACATTGAATAGATTCATTGGTGTATAAATAACATTAATTTTATTGGTTTTTTTTCATCATGAATAAAATAATTTTATAGTTTTTGCTATTAAAATTAGTTTTTTGTAAGTAAAAACCATGGATTTTATTTATTTATTATGCATATGCATGATCTACAATATATATGTATCCAAATTTTATAATGTTTTTTTGGAATGTTTGTATAAAATATGCCTATCATAATTTATTTTTTCAAAATAAAAAATTCATCAAAATAGCCACTTTATCTCAGATCCTTTACAAACTTAGAGACCTTTTTCAATTTTCTAATAATCAGTGCTTTTCAAATTTTACATACATTCTGTCTCTCTCACATACACACACACCACTTACATCTGTTTGGACACCGGGGGTAACCGGTCACCAAAGTTCACCCACCCGGTAACCCCCGTAAGGGTCCCCGCTCTTTCCCGGGGTTTGAATTCAAATCTCCCGCCGTTAAGGGAGGGGGTGCTTGCGGTGTCCCCGAGGCCATGTCACCATCTCCCATTCATTCCCTCTGGCGCCACCTTCACCACGAAGTCTCCGACCCTCTTAACCGCCATCCCCGACGCCGACATGGAAAGAATCGTAGCGCAGCTCCATTCTGTGGCTCAACGATTCCGCGTCGAGCCCAACCCAGATCTGTAGTTTTAGGGATGCGAGTCATATCGGTTTGGTGCGCTTCTGGACGATTGTCGCTGTTAACCTTGTTGCGGAGAGACCACCCGTCTGAGCAGACGACGAATCGGGTCATTGCCCTTTTAGGTTTTTGAAGCTGGAAATTGTCGTTCTTAGATTGATTGCGAGGTTTGACGCCGATCTCGTGTTTACTCTTGACTGCTCTTACACCTATACGCGGTTGTTTTCTCTCTCATTGCCGCCTCAAGGGGAGTCTGGATCATCCTCCATGTGTTTGTGTGTGTGCTCATTGTTGCACTTGGAGTTTTGACGCTAGTGAATACCGTGACTTGAGAGTGCTTCCCGCTTTCTCTCCCCTCGCTGACATTACTCAATCGTTTTCACGGCTTTGTGAAGATCTGACGGGGGTACGTGGAGGAGGGAGCAGTCCTAGAGTGCCTTGCTTCTGCCAAGTAGTCATTAAATTTAATCATCAAGAGGTTTATGTTGTTTCATTCTAAATGATGAGCTGATGATAAGAAAGCGCCATTATCTTACCCATACCTGAGTTATCAGGAGACGCAGCCTAGTCGTGACAAGCCTTTGCTGTTGAGGGTGGGTTCAGATGGCACCTCAGAGGAAGAGGAAGGTTGCTCAGGCTTGCTCCGTTCTAAAGACGCTTTTCATAGGTGGGTTCCTATCACCTTGGAAAGTTCTGTTCTCTCCACGATTTTCACTCGCGGAACGCAAATTCCATCTCGGTGAAACAATTTCACCATATATAATCATCCACAGTGACAACAACGTGTAATAATCTCGTCAATGACCTTGTGCACATGCCTGAAACTTGAATTGCGTGAATTAGAGACCGGAGGTCTGCAGAAAGTGAAGTAAACTCCTTCTCTCTGTTGTCGTTCAGGTAACTGCATAGTCGAATTCCCTAGCGATGCGGATCAGGAGTACATAGCCGACAAGCTCTGTCTGCAACTCCATCATCCTGCCTCAATAACAATAAGCGGTACCTCCTCTTATATTTCCTTCTCAATGATGATAGTTATCAACTGAGAATTTCTGTTTCAAAAAGTGTTTCCATCCGCTTAGAAAAGTTGATGATTTTTTATCAGTTTGTAGGTGGTTACATAAGTACCTCACTGGGCACCGATAGAACTCATTTACCTTTACCAGAACTTCCTGTTTGGACAATATTGAAAGCATCCCTACATGAATGTATTACGCTTCATGTTTCAAATTCTTCTGCTTTATATTTTTATCCACATGGTATAGGTTTCTCATGACCCTGGATAAGTGTGGATCAACGTCGTATTGATGAGGGGTGTGTCATCTTACATTTGAGGAATCTTGTTTTCTTGGTTTTATTGTGTTTAGTTGATAACCAGAAGCCTCAAGCGTTTGAGAAGCCAAACCCTGTTCTTCTAGGTAAGCTTGAATTTTATTGACATCTAACGTCTATTAATTGGTCTTTATTTGTTATGTGTCTAGTCAAGAGTGTGCTGAAATAGTTCAGGTTTCACTAGGTGTGCGAGATAAAATCCTTGTTAAGAGTGATTTCACGACATGCCAGAATTTTGAGAAGCAATTGTCACACAAAATGTTGCATACTTTGTTGATGTAGTATACATCGGAATGATGCAGAACAAGTTTTGCCTCAGGGTCCTTTGTTTCAAGTGATTAATCCAAAAAGCCCCGATTCAGCCGACTACTCGCTCCTTGAGGTGCTACAGTTTTTTTGGTCTTGGAATGACGCATATTCTGTTGTTCCGGTTCGCCCTTTGTTTTGCACTAATCCCAAAACTTAATAGATGTTACTCCCGAAATAAGTGTTAACGGAGCCTTATCCTTCATCGGCTAAATGTTTGAGCCAGATTGCGACGATGTTATATAAAAAGGAGCTGCCCGCAATGAGCTTTGCAGCTGGTACTGGGAAAGAATCTGATTTTCTTAGGAACTGTACAACGAGCGGGTGGGTGCAAGCCGTGCCGATCATGCAATATTTACCTGTTTCGCAGTTAGTGGTAATCGCCACGTGCAGTAGACATGTACTATGAGTGCAGGAGCTAGGAACTCACATCTGATCTCAATTATCTGCAGAAAGTATTGCACTTTGCTGATGAAGAAGCCAGGTGTCTTCCCTGCCGATACTGAGGTATGTCTGCCCTGCTGCGTGCATAATTCTCGTTGTTGGTTATAACCTGATTTGTTTTTGTTCTGAATGGATATAACATCATTGGGTAGTCTGCCCATGTCTTAACAATCAGAGCACCCCACTTACAATATTTTATCGATTTGGGATTAACGTTGGATACACGCAGGTTATCGTAGGGGCTATTACGTACCAAATTCTGCCTACCAATACTCAATATGCTGAAATTCCACTGGCTGCTGTAGACCAAATTTACCAGCGCCAGGTAAACTTTTCTTTTCAGAACTGCAGGAATTTCAGATTTAGAGTATTACTTGGTGGTTTTTCGCATTCTTATAGTTTCAGTATCCTCCGAATTTTAAATTTGCGATTTTAATCCTAGTGGATCTTGAATTGTTACCCGCCTCGCCTTCCAATACCAGTGTTCTCTGTGCATCCTTGCGCAGGGCTTTGGGAAGTTGCTAGTTAAAGAGCTAGCAAGGAGGTTAGCGGATGTGGGTGTGCTAACCTTGTTTTGCTGGGGAGATCAAGAGTCTGGGCATTTCTGGAACAAAATGGTGAACCTCTTCTCATCATATTCTTTTGCCTAGCTTTCTTTCCACTTTCTTTATTGTGGTCGATAGCGACTCTATCTCGAGTCCTTTCTGTCCGGCTACGGTCATATTGAATGCACACAGCATGGAAATCATTCGCCGCATGTTCAAGGGAAAGGTAGCGTTGTTGTTATTTCGCAATGTAAGATACAGTTTTCATGACAATGCTTATTAGTTTAGTACCGATGTTAATTGAGTTCAATGACGTTAGTGGTGGTTACGATTGCATACCATTTGCGGTTTTACAACGTGTAATTGGACAAATATGTTGTTCAGGGTTTCGTGAAGATTGCTGCCGTCGATCCCCAGGGCAAGCCCCAGAAACTTCGTCTGAAAAATGAAATTCGGAAAGCAATGTCTCTTCCTGGAAACTCAGCCCTCATGGTTTGTAACTTGCACGCTGCGAGTGCGGACGCTATGCCAGTCAGTTTCGGTGAGATAACTCCTCACCGGAACTCTGACAAAATTAATGCAAACCATATGATTGAGACCGAGACCAAGACCAAGACTGCGTCTGACAGGACGCAGATGGAAGTTCAACAATCTCCCATTGCTTGCAGTGAAGTCTCAGATCCGTATTCCCTTGGAGATACCCTTCCCAAGGTGCCGCTTAGCTCAGATGTGACTTCACAACAAGCTGCAAGCTTACCATGTAGTTCAGAATTTAACAGTGCAGAATGTCAGGTTAAGTCCTACTCCAAAGGATCCAGTTGTAAAGTTTCCGTGATGACCGATCATGTGTCTGATTGTAAATTCTCTTCGTTAAAGTTCAGCCGCACTCTCCGTTTTACAGGATGTGACATAGTGGAAGCATCTGAGAAAGGCACCTGTGAAAATACACCTGTACTTCCCTCAGATAAGTTAGCTGTGACCCAAGAACATAAGAGCCCAGGATTTATCTTTGTTAACCCAACTACCGAGACTAATGAGAAGATTCTTTCGACATCCCCAAGTAACCCCGTTTTGCATAGGAATGATAAATTAAGAGAGCCCTTGAGGAATGTGGAGAATACTTCTGCGTACAATTCCGTGCCTCTTGCGCAACATCAGTCCTCGGACGCGACACCAGGTGATGATCTTAACTTAGCGACCGCTACAAGGGAACCCCCAAAACCTACTGGTAAAGCAACTGCTCTTTAGATCCTTCTCTGAAGCAATCGTCATTGAATAGCCGGAGAGTTTCACAATGTAGCTGCATTTGAAATTTTGTGATACAGTTTGTATTGGTTGAAGATCGTTGCCACGGAATTTGCCTTCACTGGTTGGATCTGTGTGCAGAAAACCAGATGACTGTCAAATGTGATCTCAAGTTCATGCAGCTCCGTTTGTGTCTTCCTAACTTGGTTTGTGATGTTTTCCTCAGAGGTGTGTCTGGATCAGGAGAACGATGATCTGGTCAAGGAAAAAGTCTTAGAAACTGAGCCTCCTAAATCTCGTCTCAAAAGACCTCGAGCAAAACCACTAACATCAAAAAAAATAGGTAGAAAGTCAGTGCGGAGGGAAAGTAGCGATAGTCCGACCAGGATTGATCCGGTATTAGAAATGCCTGAACCATCAGCTTCTGAACCAACTCTGAGTTCATCCCCAGTAAAGAAGGCAGTCAGACAGTCAATGCGGAGGCAAAGTGGCGGTGATCCAGCGAGGGTGAATCCAGTTATAGAAACGCTCCAGGCTTCAGCTCCAAAACCGAGTTCGAATCCTCCACCAGCAAAGAAGGCAGCTAGACAGTCAGTTCGGAGGCAAAGTAATGGTATTCCAGGTGGGGTGAATCCAGTTAATGGATTGCCTGAACCATCAGTCCGTCAGTCAAGTTCTGAACAACTTTCAGCTGCTCAAAATACTGAAATTGTCAACGACTGTTCTGGTCTAAACCATGAGTCTGTCTCGGACACTCGAGATGCTAGAAGTGTAGATTGTCTGCGATCCGCGACAGATGACTGCGTTACGCCCGTAGGTGCAGATGATAGACGTTTGAAATCAACGTCGAAGAAACAAGACAAGGATGTCACGATTCGGAAGCGGTTGTCCTCTCGACCAGTTAATATTCCTGAAGTCAGAGTAGGATTACCGCTGGCCTTAGGTTATGCTAAAGACTCTGCGACGTGTTCCACACCAGTTGTTTTTCTTGCGAATATGCCAAACGATCCGAAGAAGAGAGCATTAATACAGGTTCGCCCTGAAAGCGTGCTATCATCCCTCCTTTCAAGTTCTGCCGTAAAACTTAGGTTTAATCTTTTCACCTTTCTTCCGTATGCTTGTGCAATTTCATTACCATGAGAACACCTCTTCTTCAGCATGCCACTATACCTATTTTATTTGATACACAGCTGGGTGTACGACGTGGTCATTGCATCCAAACATTTATGTGAACTTGACGTTATTAGCGTTTTTATTGACTTGTACATTTGGGTATATTTTGAAGTATGGAATGTGTTCTGATCTTATGAGGTTGTACATGCAGTTGGTGGAAAAACTTGGAGGGAAAGTGACAAGCGATGGAGGTCAATGTACACACGTTATTGCCAGTGAAGTGAGAAGGACTTTAAATTTTTGCACGGCCCTTTGCAGGGGGTAAGTTTTGTGTACCTACTCTGAACTGCTCAGTATCACATCATGTGATGATTATACTGTCGAATGCCTAAGACATGTAGTGTTAGCCTCTACTGGCAGGAGATTTTTCTCCATTTGCAGCAGGACCAAAGTGCCCGTCTCTGATTTCTCCTCTTTTCGTGCTCTCGTTTTCCTTGGTGAATATTACATAATTCAGTGCACTTGACAGGGCATGGGTTGTTACGCCAGAATGGTTGAAGTCAAGCAATAAGCACAAATCCTTCGTTGGTGAGCGCCTCTCATTTCTGTATGTACATCAGGCTTGATATCTCTTCTGTTAGATGGTGTATGGACTGGGTCTAGTTGACTTCAGTGTATTCGGCAAATTTTGTTGATCTTTAACATCGCCCTAGCTCATTCATTTTGTAATATATTTTGGTGTTCTTTGGACAAATTAGATGAGAAGGAATACCTGCTAAGGGACAAGGAATATGAATCGAAATACAAAGCTCCTCTGACGAATGCTATCCAAATAGCGCAGCACAAATCTTGCTCTTTGTTTGCTGGATTCTACATATACCCGACGCCACATGTGCAGCCTCCTTTGGACACCATAGTTAAGCTAAGTGAAGCAGCAGGAGGAAAGGTATTATCTCTTACCAATAACCATCCACTGTTCGTTATCTTCAAAGTTCGAAGTTTGGACTTCATTTGAGGATTTTATTCGTAGTGTTTGTCACCACTTGAACATTCAGCTTCAACCGATTTCTCTGTGCAGGTTTTGAAAAGCTTAGATGAAGCATTGCAACAGAACTATGTGTCGCACAGCATCGTTCTAGGTGGAGAGGAGGACAAGAGTGAAGTTGAAAACGCTGCAAAAGCAGGACTGCGAACTTTCACTGGCGAGTGGTTCATGCAAGCCATTGTGAAGCAGAAGATAGACTTGGATACAAATATATTACAGTAGCTATGTATTTATTTTGCACCTTAATCCTGTACAGAAATTCATGCATCCAAGTAGCTCATTTAGATTGATTCTATTTGTTAGAGGATGGAGAAATTTGGTTATGTGAATCATCATGCCAAAGATGTGGGATGTTGAGATTTTGAAATTTTCCCACCGCGACAACGCTTTTGTCTTCATCAACTAAGATATCATTCGGTGGAGACGTTGGTGTTTTATCATGTCAAGGATTCCATCGCACCTGTATATTGGGCTTCATGCGAATTGTAACGAGTGTCTTTTGCAGTACACTTTATAATTTGACTGGAACTTACACTACTGCACGGTATGACATGCGGTATCCCATCATGTTCGTGGTCACTACGAAAGTGAACCCAAGTCCTCTGGTACTTTTAATTTTATTACTAATAAAAAAGGAATCTGTACATTTTCTTTGTATTTTATTGCAATTGATTTAAAAAAAATTATTCTTTTAATTAAAAAACTGTTCTTAGATAGAAAATTCAAACATATAGACATATTACATACATTCAAATGAATAAACATGTATATTATTAAAATACATATATGTCAGTGCTGTTTCTTAAGTTAGAAGCAATTCGAATTTTATGAATTAGTTTAAAAAAATTTCATTTTTTTTTTTAATTAGCCATATTGAAGAAGTGTCAATTCCATTTAAGATTATTAATGTAAGAATTGGACAAATTTCTTCTTGTTGGTTATATTTGCATGTATTACCATGCAATTTATAATTATTCTCATTTATTATGTATTTATCTTTGATAAGATGGAAGAAATGTGGAAGGTTGCAAGTAATATGCATGCTGCTGCATATTTGCAAGGATTGTGTATGCTGTAGCAAATCTGTGGCAAACAAACATCAAAAAAATGTTGCACAAAATTCTTGTGCAATGTTTTTGTGTGCAATTTCTATTACCTTGTTAAGTAAATCAGCATTTAGTACACTTGTCAACTTATGTATCATTACCACTTACATCTCCTATGGATTATATGATTTGTGGGTAAAATTGGCTAATAAATTACACACTTTTAAATATTTAGCACAGATTAAAAAAGTAAACCAATTGCAAGTGGTACATTAAATCTAGTTCCTTCTAAATTCAATTGGCAACCAAAAATCTTGCACTTCTCTAAGTCAAAAATTCTTTCCTACCACCTTTACCTTGATAGAATATTGACCAAAGTACATAGAAAGAGTTGCAATGGGCCTCTTTGTCAATTGCATACTAGTTGAAATGTCTGCAATGAAGGTATTTTTTTCTTTTCTTTCAACTCTAGGACTCGAAGTATACTTGGGCTTAATTTCATTAGACATGTTCAATATAAATTTAATGGTTTTTTTCCAAAATAAATAGGTTTGGATTCCTTGCTATCAACACAATGGTTTACATCTATTGTATCTTATTTTTTTACAATTGCGCCAAAGATGACATTGCATCTTTTGACCTCATCAACCTAATTGGTGTATTAATTGCTCTCCTAATCATCATTTTGAAAGGTATTGAAAGTTCAAAATCATACATCTTTCTTGCAATTTTAGATGTAATAGCATAGGGATTGAGCACCAATATTACAACACTATTGATAATGACGCTTCTTAGATTGATAAGGCTAATGATATCCTTAATCTCATTTAGAAATTGCTTTTTGATCTTTGACATCAAGGAAGAAGAAAAAAAAATCTCTCAACAATAAAAATTACTTCATAATTAATATTCTAAAGAATTTGTTGGCAATTAAATGCAATTTTTGTTTTATAACTAGGTCAAAAAATTGCATCCATATACAACTATGTGAACTTCGGTTGTCATAGATATTATAAGATAGAAGTGATTATTTCAAATAGTATTTTTTCTATTCTTTTGTCAACTTAGTTGAAAGCTAGATTTTGGAGTTTTTACTAATGGTTGCTAAGAGGCACAAATTTCTTATAATGTCCTTTCATTGAGTGTAAATATGTTTTATAAAAGCAAATGAAATATTAAAAAATTCTAGGCATTACATCTTAGATTTTTTTTTTTTTTTTTTTTTTTTTTTTTAAATTATTTTTCCATGTATGTTTACAACAAATACCACCACTATATGTAATTTCTTTTATTTTGTAATTATGTAAGATTTCACTTAACTATTTCTAGATCTCAATATTTGTTGTACTCTTACTTATATTAGCTACTAAAAGCTTGCAATTGGTCTTGAATTTTGGCTTAGATATATTATAGTAACAATAGCATTAAGTTAATTTTAGCTCAAGTACAATGCTTAGAAGTTGAATACTTCTATTAAAAATTTACTTTAGATAAATCTTACCACTGCTATGCACAATTCCATTTTCTTCTTGGTATAATCATCTCAAATTGACAATACAATCACATACTACTATACACTCTTTATGGTCAATACATTGCTAAATTTAATATAGAGGTGCTTGCATCAATCTCCCAAAGATATTCCAAGATGATATTTATAATTTTATAGCTCAAACAAAGATTGCTAAATCATAAAAGTTTAGAGTTCTTGCTTGCTAAATAAAGTTTAAATCTCATCAAATTCATATTAAGAAGAGAGATCTACTAACAACCTTTAATGTGCCTTGTAAAAATTGTTCTCATCCTTTGTAAAGTCATGAAAACCCACAAATTTCCACAACTTAATTTTTGCTATTACTTAATCTCTAAAAATATCTTATAGTATGACATCCTATCTCTTAATCAATTATTATAGGTAGAAATGTTTTTGGAATATGATTTATGTGCAAAATTATACCCTAAGAAAGTTGTTTTAAAATCTAGTCCTACTACCACCTTTGCTTTAATTGGTATTTATTCAAAAAATTTAAGTTTCTTTCTTCTACCTTCTTGACAAACCTAAATGCAAATTTATAAGTCCACCATGTAATTTCTTTTTTATACTACAAGAACTAACAAGCTTCTAGATATATTTTTCAATTGCAAATACCATTCAACTAGAATGATTAATTTTCAATTCCTCAAAATGTATATTAATAAAGTGATATGATTACCTTTATTAGAAATAAAATTACCATATAATGTTCTAAATCTAACAAAGAATAGCGCTAATTACAAGTAATGCAAAAAAATGCCATATTTCACAATTTAATCTAACACTTTATTTAAAGATATGCAAATAATAATAAATTTCAAACAATAAAATTAAAAAGATACTAATTTTATATTATATAATAATTATATGAAAAAAGTAAAATATATATATATATATATATTTTGTTTTTTATTACAATAGATGTATTTTTTAATTTTTGATTTAAAAAATTAATTTAATTCTTATAGTTTTTTTTTTAATATTTAAATTTAATCGAATAAAATAATCTTTCTATAATTCAATATGCATGGTGGATAAAAAAATTATTACCTAATTAAAGAAATTATGTTATTTAAAGTTACTTAAAATTTTGTTCTTTTTTGATACTACAACATTCTATTGAATAATTATTTTGGACCTTGAGTACATTAAAGTGATATTACTCCTTTTTAATACAACATCAAATTGTAGTTAATGGATGCTGCTTTTAAGCAATATCATTAAAAGTTTTATTTACAAAATACAATTGAAAAAATGAGCAAAAAAAAGTAGATATTTAGAAGGTTTATTTGTTGATATTAATATGATAGTTGGAAATTGCCTAGATTGATATGCTTTGATTCATATGCTTGCATGAAAAATTGCAAATTAATTTTAGTACACAAGTTGGTTCACTAGTTTTTCTAAAGAAATTCAATATAACATGGATGAAGATATCATCAACAATAAGGTTCTAAATTTCATCTAATAATTATATGTATGCAAACCAATATCAATGGAAGTCCTTCTCAAATCTACTGTAAAAGCTTTAATAAGACATAAACAATTATTTGATGACAAATTGTTGGCATGTGCTGCAACCAAAGAGGTTGAAGATGAAGAAGAAGATCTAGAAGCCTAATCTAAGCAAAAGGTGCCAAAAAAATTAAAATAAAATAAAATACTTTCTATGTTGTGATCAAGTACCTTGATATAACAAAGCCTATACATTTTCTTAAACATATATAGTGCTAAAAAGCTTCTAGTAGAAGTTGCATTTCTCATATTTTTTGCAAAAAATATTAAATTTTTAGTTACAATAGAATTGATTATGTATTATATAGTGGATATTTTGGCAAAAGATTTAGAATTAAAATAGGTATTTTTTCTCAATTTAAAAAAATATTATGGCATTTAAGATCAAAGTAGTTTCATTTGCAATAGGTATAATGGTATTTAGGATTGAAACACCTTTGTTTTGTTGCAACATCTAATTCTAAAAAAATATCATTGTTAGATGTTATAAATTCAATAATTCTATGAAGATTTATGTGTCTTTGGTCCTTAACTATATATAACTAAATACTTAGCTGTATAAATTAATAAATTATATTTTTTTATTAGATATTAAGGAATAGAAATGTTAAATTATTGTTATAAAATAAACTTAGTAGAATCAAAACATATGATGCCATAGAAGTTATTGAGTTATCAAATATTAAATTGTAAAGAAATTATTTTCTATATCTCATATATAAATAATAATAATAATAATAATACAATCAATTTTTATTTATCCATAAAATAGTTGACATTAATAAATTTACATATATATTTTTGTGTAATTTGTAAATTTTTTTCTCAATTGTATTATTTTATTTCAGCACTAATAAGAGAAGACATATCTATATATATATATATATATATATATATATATTCTCCTTGTATTTTTGTATAAGTATAAACTTTAAAAAGAAACTTTTTGTACCAAAAATATCACTTAATGATCTTGAACAAATAAAAAAACTAAAAATAAATATGTATTACTTATGTTTAGATGAACGAGCATTTATATTGTTTATAAATGCCAATGCTATTTTATAAATTAGAAGAAATTATCCTTTTATAAATTTATTATAAAATATACATATCATATTTATTTCATGAGCTCACTTTCTGAAAGTATTGCATCTACTCAAAGATTAAAATTTACATTTAAAAATTAATTTAAAATTATAATTAAATCTTAAATTGAAATTTATTTCTTCTATGAGTTTTTATTCTTAACTTTTAATTTAAATATGGTAGAATAAAACATGTAGATTAACTTTTGAAGAAATATCTTTATTCTAATATAAATCAACAATGTAGTGATTGAACAAAACTCTTCTTGTTGATTATATTATAATTATAATTTAATGAAAATTTCATAGATAAAACCTTAAAACATGAACTGTTTTATATTAATTTTTGTATAATTGTATAGACCAAAAAATTTGTAAAGCTAA